CTAACTTTGCATTATTATTCCTCTGCTGCGTACAAATATGTCAGAAGGACATTTAATACTTGCCTACCCCATACTAGAACTATAAGCAGGTGGTACCAAAGTTTAAATGGTTTACCTGGTTTTACCAGTGAGGCATTTAATGCTCTACGACTAAAAGTGGCTGGCTCAAAAAATAAAATAATCTGTTCTCTTATTATGGATAAGATGGCCATTCGTCAGCACGAGGAATGGGTTCCAAGCCAAGGAAAGACATACGGATACGTCGATATGGGAACAGGATCACAAGAGTCTGCAATTGCAAAAGAATCACTTGTATTTTTGCTCACTTGCATAAATGACAATTGGAAGATACCGGTGGGCTATTTTTTATCGCTGGTATTAAAGCTGAACAAAAAGCTGGCCTGGTATTAGAATGCCTTAGAAAATGTTATGATATTGGGGTCATGGTAGTAAGTTTGACATTTGATGGTGCTCCTACAAATATCAGTATGTCTAATCGGCTGGGTTGCATTATGAAGCACACCGTCTTAAAAACCACATTCAAGCATCCATCTTGTGATGAACATGTTGCTGTGTTTTTAGATCCCTCCCACATGGTTAAACTCGTTAGGAATACATTGGGGGATAAAAAATCATTTCTTACGGGAAAATCCAGTGGAAGTATTTTACTCTTTTACACAACCTCCAGGAAAGTGAATCGTTTCATTTGGCTAATAAACTTAGGGCAGCACATATAGCATTTAAGAAGCACATAATGAAAGTTAGGTTGGCAACGCAATTATTTAGTGAAAGCGTGGCTCTTGCGTTTAAGTTTTGTAATGAAGTGCTAAAACTGCAACAGTTTGAGAATGTCGGTCCAACAATAGAATTTACCGAACGAATAAATAATCTGTTTGACGTTTTAAATTCCAGAAATTTGTTTCAAATGGGATATAAAAAACCTTTGTCAGAAAACAATTTTACCGAAATATCACTGTTTTTAGACAACGCGGACAATTATATCGCAGGTTTGAAATCTTCGAGGGATGGCCCATTGTTATTAGAAACTGATAGACATACAGGTTTCTTAGGTTTAAGAGTGTGTATTTCAAGTACCAAATTTCTTTTTAACAGTTTGATTACAGAAAAAAAACTTTTGAAATTTTTGCCTTTGTATAAAATATCACAAGACCACTTGGAATTATTTTTTTGTTCTATTAGGTCTCATGGTGGTCATAATAATAATCCAACAGCCAGGCAATTTCAAGCGGCATATAAAAAACTGCTTGTTCATGTAGAACTGAAAGAAAGTTTTCATGGAAATTGTATTCCACTCGAAGAACTTTCAATTTTAAAGTGCAATCCCATCCAACACATTAATTTCACATCTACAGAATATTTGGTATATGGTGATAATTTGGAGAACTCTAATCAAGTTGAAAATGATCATGATTATTTGCCTGATCCGATATCACTATATTCAAAGTACATTATCACTTATATAGCGGGATACGTAGTTTATTATTTAAAAAAAAAATTGATCTGTGTAGACTGCATAGAGACTTTAATAAGCGATAATAGAGATTTATTTCTGTTTTCGTTTATAGACTTAAAAAACAAAACCGGTTTACAATATCCATCTGAAGATGTTATAAAAATTTCAATAAAATGTGAGCAATATATAAAATGTAAAATGTTAACCTCTCTGCCAAATTTATCCGCTATTAACCATATAAAAAATAATATTTTAACGGAGTTTATGGATTCTGATGTATTTTTGTGTTTAAATAGGCATAGTTTTAGTCAATCTGTTTTCGATAATCATAGGATTTTGTTAATTAAAAGCGTTATAGATAAGTACTTAAATATAAGGATGATTTATTTAGGTAAAAGTAAAGCAAATAAGGCAATGAGCATCAGACATCAAAGCAATAAACTTATTGTTTAAAGGTCAATAATTTATATCTATAGTTTATCCAACAAAATTTGCGATGCATCATCCGTCATTATTATGGTCCAAGAATTTACCTACCTCTTATCTCAATGTAGTAATCTTTCAATACACTTCAACTACAGTGATAGTTTACTTCCTTTCTTCTAATAGTTACAAAGATTACGTAATAGTTTCAGTATTAGATATTGCTTAGCAATGCAGCATTACAACGGCGTTATTAAATTTTTTGGCGTGCATCGGAAATTACGAAGGATAATCTCTATAACTATGTACCTATATATGTATCTCTGTTGTTGAGAAATTAAATTCTATGTGTATCTTGCACTTTTTTTTATAATCGTTCCATATTTGTAACACATTATTACATTTGGTAATTAAGCTTAAAAACAATAATAATAAAAATAGGTCCCATTTTAATAGTATTGTTTAGATGCTAAATAGCGTCTCCATTTATACTATCTCGATGCTACTTTGACATATGTAGCGCTACTAAAAATGGCCGACTACTACTACTAAAGAGCGTAAAAGTAGCGACGTAATTATAAGACGTATCGGTAACTGTTCCACAACAGTTGTGTCTTATGAACGCGCCCAATGTAAAAAAAATAGTAAGCCATGGAAACCATGGAAATCAAAGTGACATTTTAATTTAAATCAGTTCACTGAATCTGTTTTCCCAAAAATGTCGCGCAGTAAAGCAACAAATAGTGCCATCAGAAGTTTAATCTTAAGATTGTTTCATCAAGGGAAGACCTTTCGGGATATTGGTAAACTAATAAATGTTGCGAAATCTACGGTGGCAGACATTGTAAAAAAGTATGGGGAAACGGGTTCAATTGAAGTTTTAAGAACTGGTGTTGGTAGACCACGTAAGGTCAGTCCAAGAATGCAAAGATCTCTTGTACGGATTTGCAACGCTGGTCGTCGAGCTACCGTCCGGGACATAGCAAAATGGAATGAAGAAACAGGTGAAAATGTGTCACGAGAAACTTGTCGAAGGTGGATTCATAAGTCTGGATTACATTTTTATAAGGTATGTGCCGTTAAGGGCATATTTAGTCATATTTATTCAGCACAATCTTCGCTTTAGGCAGAAGAAAAGCCGTTGCTGACTGAAAAACAAAAGAAAAGACGATTAGTATGGGCTAAGGAACGAGCAAAATGGACATACGAGCACTGGAAAAGGATCATTTTTAGCGATGAATCAAAATTTGATGTCTGTGTGGGTGACCTCCGATCGCGTGTTATCAGAAATAAAAATGAAGCATATCATAAAGACTGCCTAAAGAGAAAAGTAAAGTTTCCATCAGGTGTAATGGTATGGGGAAGCATGTCTGCTTTCGGTGTTGGGAAGCTACATTTTGTAAACGGTACAGTAAACGCTGAAAAGTACCAAAATATCCTTGAAACCAATTTGTTACTGTCACTTCAAAGTTTATCACCTGATGGAAATTTTACTTTCCAACAAGATGGGGCGTCATGTCACACGGCCAAGGCGACGAAAAGATGGTTTGAAGAAAATGATATTTCCGTCCTTGATTAGCCTTCCTGTAGTCCCGATCTAAACGTGATTGAAACCGTGTGGCATAAAATGAAGCAACATTTAAGAAATGATCCACAGAGAAACATTCCCTATTTGCGGATAAAATTACAAAACATATGGGATGCTTTTAGTGCAGAAGACTGTGTAAAGCTCGTTAGAACTTTGCCTAGCAGAATAAATGCAGTTATTAAGACAAGAGGAGATGTAACAAGTTATTAGTTAAGAACAAAATTGTTAATATGCAGTACTAATAATATACTTAAATGTCTGATATTAATTAAACATGATTTTTAATCAATAAAAATAAAAATTAAAACTTTAACATAATATTAGTTCATGTCCGAACATTTTTGTGTTAGGGCTCGTAGTTGCAGAAGCTAAGTCTACATATGTATTTTGATCAAAACATGTCAAAATTGTTATTCATGCATCAAAATCGCAAGAGCATTATTTCGATACCCAATACATGAATTTGATGCATTTTAGCGACCACATGGATTTTGCTCAAAACATATCAAAGTTGTTATTCTTGCACCGAGATCGTTAGGAAAAAGACTAACAACATTATTTCAATGCCATAGACATGAATTTAATGCATCCTTCGCGACCGTATGTATTTTGACCAAAGCATGTCAACATCGTTATTCATGCACCAAGATTGTTGGGAAAAAGACTAAGTGCATTTTCTCAATGACCAAGAAATGAATTTGATGCGTTTTGTTGACTGTATGTATTTTGCAAGGTGAAAATAAATGGTCGTTAAAAAGTAAAGGTAATACTGAGGATCCTTCAATATTTCATTGTATCGGTTTATTGACGAGCTCCTAGCGAGTTTACAATTTTGCGGTGTCTGTCCGTCCGTTAGCACGATATCTCGATAACGAATGGACCGATTATGATAAAATTTAGTAGATGGATTCTTTATCAAATTTGTAGATCGGAGTTCGTGAATTGGCAATGTAGCCCAAAAAATAAGGAAGGCTCTTTTGACATCTCCGCGAGTTATGAACCGAATTGCATGAAATTCAATATGCTTATAGCTTTAGCGATATAAAACGCAATTCCAAAAATTGAGCCTAATCGATCAACATTCACAGCGCCCTTATCGCATCTCGACCGTTTATAAGCCGAATTGCAAACTATGGAGGGATTTAAATGAAATTTGATACATAGCCACTTGGAATAAAACCAAATTTAACGCTAGTTTCAAAATTTGGTTTTGCGCATGCGCAGTGCCAACTTTCTTATTTATGCAGGCATTCAAATGAAATTTGATACATAGCCACTTGGAATAAAAGCAAATGTAGCGCCATTTTCAAAATTTGGTTTTGTGTGTGATGTGCAGTGCCAACTTTCTTATTTATACAAGCAATTAAATAAAATTTCCGGAAATTTCATACATATACACTTTAAATAAAAGCAAAACTAACATCAAGTTTAAAAATTGGTTTTGCACATGCTATAGCCATACCCAGGAGCTCGTGTTGTTTTGTTTGTTTAGTGTATTCATTTCATTGTTTGCAGCATGGAGACGGAGGAACTTGAAATTGAAAGAAAAACAATAAATGACGCAGATGTAATTGAAAGTGGACGAAGAATTTTTGACCTACACTCCTTAATTCAACACCTTTCAAAATTTGGTAACCATGAATCGGTATACGGATGTTCAGCAAACAACATGAAATTTGTGAAGGAAGTAAGAAGGAGACTTTCAACAGATTTACACTTCAAATGTGATATGTGCCAAAGCAATGAGAAAATATCATCTGATCCGAACGGCAATAATAACATGGACATAAATGCAAACATGGTAATGTTAACATTCTTAGATCAGAATTATTTATAAATGTACTAGAAGAGGTAGTAGTATTCGCAATTCGCATAATAGAAATTGTTGTTCTGTTTTAAATTTGAATATAATAATAGCAGCTAAGTATTTATTTTTTCTACAAATGTCAAAAAAACCTGTCATTTTCTGACGAATTTCGAAGCGTTGCCCTTGACAACGTGCGCGAAATCGTCAACAGTGAAAAAAGTATTTCGCGCACGTGCCAAAGTTGAACTTAAACAGCAAATTTAATTAACAATCGGTTCAGTTGTAGAAAAAATATTGTATATATATTGTATATAACGCTAGCGCGAAGTTATTCGCCTCGTCAAAATACCTTCAGTCTCAATGCGCGAAATTGAACTTCGCGCTCTTGTTATATAAATAACTATTTTAAACAGGTATTTGCGCCAATGTGTACCGGACAAAGCTTTACACAAATGGAAGAACGGTGCAAATTATTAGATATTCCAACGATGTCATCCAGAAAATTCTTTTCATTGCAAAGGAAAGTCAAGGAATCCATCAAAACGTCTGCAAGGAAGAAAATGGAAAATGCTGCAAAAGTAGAGAAAGAAGCAGCGCAGGAGGCTGGATTCATAGACAGTGACGGAAATGCTGAAATCACTGGACGGAACTTTGGCGAATGTAATTTCAGCTCCTTGTCTGGTATGGTATGTAGGACGTAGGTAAACGTACGTTGAGAATATTAGTAATTCCTCTTATTTATTAGGCCTGCATTATTGGGTACCATACTAAAAAAATTTTATACATGGGTGTTCGGAACACATTTTGCATTATCTGTGATAAATCTACCAATTTATAAGAGGATGCTCCTGACCACGTTTGTTTTAAAGCCGATATCCTCGCAGAAGGATTCAAGCAAAGCATTGAAATGTATGGTTTGAAATACACAAAAGTAATCTGTATGTATTTTGTACACAGTTATATCGAATAACAATTGTATATATGTATAGTACCCACTATACTTAGGTTGTGGTTGTAATGTCTGCCAATTCTTATTGAAATTCAAGTAGCTGCTCTTACAAAACCTTGATATTTGGAACAAAAGAAAACAATTTTGTGTCATGAATTTTAAAAACTACCCGGTGAATCCAAACAACCACTTACTTCTCTTTTTTACATAGGTATTTACTATACTGCATTTCTTTTTCAGGGGATAGAGATAGTAGTCTTATGGACACTTTACGGAAATCTGCACCCTACGCACTCCAACAAATGATTGAAAAAATAGAACGCGTCAATCATATCTGCAAAAATTTTTCAAATAAATTAAAAGAATTGACAAAAAAGCGCATTAACAATCAAGGCGAAGTACCGGTAACCATGCGAAAGTTACTGGAAAACAATTTGTCTCGTCTGCGATGTGGAGTCTACACGGCGATCACGAAGAGGCACACTTTAGCACAAGAAAATAGTGCCAACCGAAGTCATGAACAAAAACAATTAGCACTAGACATAAAAAATTGACCCAATCACGTGTTTGGTGACCATACAAGATGCGCGGAACAAAGTGTCAGGTAGCTAATTTTTTAATTAATTTGTTATTTATTATATATTGTTAAGAAACTATGAAATAACATTGATTAATTTGATCTGACATAACGAACTTGCACGAGAAATACACAGATACTATTTACATCTATTTATATAAATTTCAAACTGAATTTGAAAAAAATGTTACAGGCTCTACGTATGCCCGCGAAGGTTTCTGTAAATGTGAGCGAGGTGAGGCGGCGAAACCGAGGTTATGGCCCATTCAGGAGGTGGACATTTAGACGTGGTGAGGTGGCGCAGCGGCCAAAACCGAGCAACAATTCACAATTATGTGACTGTGGAAGAGGTCTTAACCTGTGCCTCAGTCCAAAAATTAGCCGCCTGCGCAATTTAGTTTCTATCAAAAAAAATTTCGAAAAACTGTCAAATTTTGACGAAAAATAATAAAATAATATGTCAAATAAAAAAATAAGTACTTTTCAAGTACTCCAAATCAGTAATAAAATGTGCCATTTAAAAAAAATGCAAGTTTGATATGCCATAATGGAATACAGCACGCCCATGGTGTTCAAAAATATTTTAGAAACATACCGGCGGTAATTGCGTATAATTTTGCTCAAAGACTTTTTTCGGTATCTTTATGGTAAAGGAATTATGATCCGAGGTGTCTTAGGGGCTGCACCCTGTATATTACTCCATATTTAACCCTCGGGCGACTTACAATCCCACGGGATCTGCTGCCCTCGGCATGAATATCGCCTTAATGTGTCTGATATATAAATAACTATTGTGTTACACAATAGTAGATATATAAGTCCGATTTCAGCACCCTTTCAGCTTGAACTCTGCGCATGCGTCAAGTTCAGTACCCGGTCGATCTATGCAGGACTAAACTTTATTGCTTAGGTGGTTCTTGTCAAAACTAAAATGGTTCTGATTTGAAACGGAAATAAGCCTGTTCTTCAGAAACACGTTGGTTAAACAGAAACCGATTTTAATTAGCAGACCTATCTCTGTTAGCTGATCCGCTTCTGCTCAACCAACCTGTTTCTGATAAACAAATCTGTTTCAGCTCAGAACCATTCTAGTTTTGAAAAGAACCACCTACGCAATTTTAGTCCAGAATCGGGCGAATCTATCCGTTCATCGTAAGTTGCAATATGGACGATTCTTGTCTTCTGGTTTTGATAGTTTAACTTCGAAATCGGCATACATTTTTACAGCATTTCATTTGACTTGTTTCCTGCTTTCCTCTAAATATTTAAGTGCGGGCTCTTCCATCCAAGGTTCTAATATGTTCTCTACTAAAATTTGTGAAACGTTGAGTGTACCTAACAGTACCGGTTGTTGCTGATTCAAGAGCTCAAACCAATTTTGGAATTGTCTATGATCATCATCTTTGAAGCAGCTTTTAATTGTGGTTGTTAGTGATTTCAGCTAGATCTACACGGTGATATTACATTATAACATATAATTGTGGAACACTAAAGGATAAAAATACTGCTTCTCCAATCTGTACATGTTTAATAATTTAAGTAATCGATAATACTGTTGCTATAAATTATGAACAACAATAAATAAATAATCATGAGATCTTGTTTAACTTCAAATAAACATGACATTCACCTAAGTGTCCCTCTTCCCATTTGTTTTATACTTTAATAAAGTTCAATGAAAAGTGGAAAGTGCTTGTCGTACAAAGCTGAAAACAAAACTCTGAATGCGTGAACTTTTCCTATGACATGAATATGATCGATATTGCCCCACAGGCGCCAAAGTCGTCTATTCAATAATAGAAAGCAGCTTTGAAACGTTACGTCCGGCGGAGTTTTCGACAACTCCGGAAATGTAAGAACTTTATAAGTAAGCTGAATTTTCCGTTTCTCTCAGAATGATTTATTGACACAACTGTTATTTCACCGTTTACTTGGTTACTTTAAACAAAAAACTATCTAGTTCTAGTCAAATCGAAACTTGATTTTCAGGGTCCATCGTTGGGGATATGTAAGTTCACCCAGTAATTGAAAGCAGTTATTTTTAAAATCCCATTTTTCCTTGCGAAATGAAATATTTAAACATCTGGTTAAAATTCCGGGCATGCATGGAATAGCCGCTGGACTCTTTCGAACAAGTTTGCCTTCTTTCTTTGCAGACGACGTAATGAGCGAGCTAGCAAAACTTGCCCTGGTTTTCGAAATACTTACAAGTTATAATGTCGACTGAAAATAAGTCCAGATTTCAATTTAAACTTGCTTCCAAGAATGGGAACTTGAAAACCGGGTAAATGTGTAAGATAAGTTACAGCTATTCTTGGAATGTGCAGCATACAACATTTAGGATTAAATCAACAGAATCACAATCACTAACCTTTATCATCCCATGCAATTTGAGGTCAGCAAGCCCAATAAAAAGCAATGATTTATTGAATAATTGAATTATACTACAAACATATAGGTAACCTGCCTTGAGAAACCGGGGCGCATGTTACTCCTCTAGCTTTTTCGTCGACTAGCTATTCATTTCGGGAAATGTGAACGCATCAATGACTACGTTTACGCCGCAACTTTCTATCGGATGTAGTAAATCCGCTACGTTAAAACCTACTTTTGCGGGTATACATAATACTCGTATATGCCATGGTAATCTCAAGTGTATACGTCGAAATTACAAGCCCTAAAATGTTCAAAGTAGGATTCTTTATTATCTGAACATTTCTTGAACGGCGGATTATATGATTTTTATTTACACTTAATAATAAATTATTTAATATAATAATATATAATAAATACAAATAATATATAATAAATACAAATAATATATAATAAATAATTTTGAAGCAGAAGCTTCGGACAGTTTTTTTTAATCCTAAACGCATATAATCAGAGACTTGCTATAACTAGACTGCGCTTAACGTATCTACGGTGTTGTCGACACAGTATGCAACACACAATGCACCGCGGGGCAAAAATCGCTGGGATGATTTATGCAATATAATGAAATAAGCTGTTATTTTAGATGTTCCGTTCATTAATCATTCTCGTGATTTTCAACGGATAAAAGTTTAAAGGGCCAATGGATCAGAGCCATTCGAAGAGAAAAATTTACTCCCACCATAGTGCATTTGCGGGGAAGAAGCTGCTTTTAGAAAGATACCTACGAAGGTGTTAAACAATAATGCAATACCGAGCGTTTTCGACTTTCCCATTCACTTAAAATAACGTAGAAATATTATTCCACATCCTTTACCAGCAAGACAACGGCAATACCTATTTGCCTATTAGGTATAGACGTAACTAAGTACTTACTGGTACTAAGTATATTTCCGGTTTTGTTTCAAGAAAAATAGCTAAGTCTATTAAATGTTCCATATGTGCAGATGCGATGTTCGCATCAGAGAGTCATTCAAAGCTTTTAACTAGAAAAAATCGTGGAGGATTGTTGCACGTATCAAGCGATATGCATTAAAAATTTGCCAAATTGCTGAAAATGTGTTCAGGTTTTTCATTCA